GCTAAATGACGTAGTGTATCGGATCCAAACCGTTGGGAGTACAAGAAACAAGGTGAAAGTGGTCCACCTGGAGAGACTTGCTGAGTTTGGAACAGCGAATGTGTCTGATCGGGACGATCAGACTTAGGTGGAGGGCAGTGTTGCGAAAATGCAAGGCAAATATCAGATGAAAGAGAGAAGCCGATAACTAGTACGTTCTAGAAACGATAAAACAAGAACCTTCCATAGCGAACAACATCAGTGAAGAGTCGTTAAGTAAACGCGTTGGAGATTACATCTAAGTAAAGTAAATTGTGAAAGTTGATGCTAGTGATTGTAAATAGTAAAGTGCATTATAATTGAATTGGGAATCACTGAGAAAATAAAGGACATTAGATTAATTCTTTATAACGAAAGAAACTGCAAATTAAGTTGGCGAGTTTTATTTAACAATCTAGAGATCGTACCCGAAGGATATAGAAAATAATCGAGGTTGTTTTAGTAAAATCGTAACAATATTAATGTTCCAAGGCGAATTTGTATAATGCCGGATTACATTCTAATGATGCAATTGGTTTTATTAAATTTTTATATTCGTTCAACTTTATTTTGTGAATTCTTTTTGTTTCGTTATTTGTGATTAATTTAAAATGTAAATATATATACATATGTATGGGTGAAAATGGGACTACATGAGGACCGAACCCCAAAACAAAACGGTAACACGCCTTTATTGCGATCTCAAGGGTGGTGAGTAAAAGCAGTACAGCCTAATCTATGTATCTTTTTATTTATATATTCATTTTTTAATAAATTAAAACTTGATTCTTTTTCGATATATACTACGTTGGGCTAACTTTTTTTTATACAAAATTCATTTACTTACTGAATCTGCTTAATATAAGCCTAGCAGTAAGTGTACAAATCTTAAAAACTAAATTACAAACATGATAGCTCGAGTTATTTAACTCTGAGCCCTTTTCAAACTACGGCGCTCTTCTTGGAAGGCGGGAACATCTCTTCGTTGCAGTCGGGAATTTATCGATGGGTTGCATAAAGCATTAGCTAGCGGATTTGGATGATTTCTTAGCTTTGTGAAGTACTTCGTCCTGCTTCTTTCAATTTCAGGCTTAACCAGTAAAATACCAAGGCCTTGATTAATGTTAACGTTACAGACGTACCATGGTGCGCCCGTTAGTGCTCTTAAAATTTTGGACTGGAACCTCAGTATTTTATCAATATTAGTTGCACAGGTCGTACCCCACAGTTG